TCTCATTTAACTTTCAGGGTAATTTGAAAGCTGCAGGTTTTCCACTGCAACACCTTCGCTGGAAATACTTGTTTCTGTTTACTTTAGGGAGCTTTCACACTTACCTTGTTTGGTCTGGACCTTCAGCCTTTTCAGTTTAGTCCAAACCAAAATACGTTTGAAAAGATCATGGTCTGGAACAACGGACCTAAATTTACATCAATTGAATGGTCTTCATCCAGGTCAAACTGAAGCAGGGTTTGGTTTGTGTGAACGTCTTTGGATAGTTCAAAATTGCAGGAATTTGAGACAACTTTAAACAGTAGAAGAAAAAGAAGCGGAAGCAGCTCCTAGAATTGCTTGTAGTCTTCACCAATGATGGTGATATTCAGAAAAGTAAACAAATACAAAAGCAGAAGTGGAAACACGACAACATCTGACACCCGTCCCTCAATGCCAGGTATATGTAGCCCACCTAGATGATGACGAGATGTGCATACAGTATGTCCCACAAAAGTCTTGATGTGCTCCCTAAATTACAATGTGAAACCAAGCTTAATTGGATGATACATAAAAGATGTATCAAAGATGTGAACCATGGGTAGCCCTTAGTCTCTTTTCAGCGCTGTGATCACCACAAACAAAATTCTATTCACCTGCATCGTGTTGGTCTGGAAGTAAAAGGAAAACGTTAAGGATGAAAACTTTTGATCAAACTTGCTGACAGGCTGAACAGAACGAAGGTGAGAAAATCTGATTTTGTCATTAGTGTGAACTGACCAACGGTTTCTCCTTCACACTGCCAAAGCTAAATAAGATATGATTTGGTGAGAATATACATTCTTGATATGGACTAACTAAGATTCAATAACCTGCATGTCTCCTACCTGTCCTCTTGAGTAATATCACCAGTAAGCGGAACTGAACTACACCAGTACCACTAAGTCACTCAATCTAAAAACATTTAAATGCGTTACGGCAATAATGATTATGATTCTTCAAAGAGCCTCACCCACGAGCTTTGGTTCCATTACCATCATGGGTTTCTTATGAGGGACCTCCTGTGTTGCTCTGATATATTACAGGCCACTGTGCCTCTCTTCTGTGTGTACAGTCAATGCATGTTCCCATTTCTGTAATGTTGGCTTAATACGAGGCTTGACGCGCAGATTAGTTTGGATGGCTCCTTATCACGAGTATATCAGTGTGAATAATGGGTGCACGAGGGGGGTGGGGGGGTCATATGATAGAGAAGGTGCTGGTGGAAGGGGGAGCTGAGGGATGATCTCACACAGAGATGCTCCATAAATCCCATTCATAATTGTTTCCCTACCTGGTGTGCAGTCTTGCTCCATGAAGGGGCAAAGCCAAGGGTGCTCTAAATGTCATGGGAGCGGCACTCTGATGAATTACCTTTTAAAGATATCGGAGAGCCTGCGTTTGAAAGATGAGGCCCAACACAATGCTCGCAGGCTCTGTCCGCCTGTGGACATATTTCCCCCCCAGGGGAAATTTGTCTTTTTATCAACTGTCCTAAGAAGTCACAGCACATCCTAGCTGAATAAATCAAGGAGAATTAGTTTACTGCGTTGTCCTATCTGTGATGTGCCATTTGTTTTTTCTGCAGCGATCACGTGAAGATATGTGTCTGCTTGTGTGTGCGTGTGTGTTTGTGGTGAAGGTGCCCCACATGTGACTGGTTAAGTTTAAGATTTCAGCTAAACACACACTTTGGTCTGTTTTATTACTCTGGTTGAAAGATAAATCGGAGCAGCACATGGATTCGAATAAAGACACAAATATATACCATTGCCAGCACTGTTAGAACATCATGGACACAGAAATATTCAATAAACATATCAAGCACATTGCAGGTGTTAAATCCATGTGTGTGTGCCGCCCTTGGCAGAGATGAGGCTGATAATCTGTCGTGCATATATCCAGTTAGGTGCCTTGATGTAAGTCGTGGTTTCTGAGATGATGCTGGTTTTAGACGGAGGTCACAGGATGTCTCTTCGCCCTTGGCCTGTCTGGGACAGCTATCATTACATACCCAGTGCCTCTCCAGATAAGTGCACCCAGGACTTCACAGCACACAGGCCCCCCTCCGCAGCAACCCGCTGTGATAACTCCTGCTTAAAGGATAATACTTTTTACACATTAATCAGATGGCTCTTTAACCATGGAGTGCTTCGTGGCCCAGATGAAATTGAAATGCATAGTTTGCCTCCTTGATAATCTCCGCACAAACATCAGTAAAATATCGCCACCGGCCCCATGGAAATGAATTGACTCACAGGAGCGACCACAGCAAGTTTGGAAATTCATGGTCATAAAACTGAGATACTGAGAGTCTCACATCTTCTTCTCTCTAGTTGCATCTCTCCACTTCTTCCGACCATCTGGACTCTGGTAATGTAAACATGTGTTATGAGAGATAGAAGCTAATAAAGCACTTTCACTTTCTAATTCTGGTTCAATGCAATTAAGTTTGTAGCAGAAATGTCCCTGGAAAACACATTCTTCAGGAATGAGTCATTAAATAACAGCTGACAAACCATTAGACTGATTGTTTGATGAAATAAATCAGAAGCTACTGTTTATTTTACAGTGATGGTAAAGCCTCTGCTGATGCAATGCCCCCAAATTATTTAAAAATGGGCGACATGAAAGTGAAGCCAAAGTGTCTTGACCACCTCCTGGTGGCTGGCTGCAGTATTGATGTTTTTTGTCATTTTAGGTAGTTATTACCACACTGGTTACCTCCATTGGCTGGATTTTGCAGTAAAGACCATGCAGCCAACCTCCACTGGGCAGACTGTTGCTCACCAGCCTCAATTTCAATTTATCTCTTTAGAGTTTGAAGTTTAAAGTTTGTTTTGGGTTTATAATTTTTTTCTTCTCCTTCCCTCATGGGCGAGAATAGGTTTTTTTCAGGCTGTGAAAGCAGCCACTCATTCGTGTTAATATCTGTGTTGCTTTTCATCAGTCGCCCTCCCTCTCTCTTCTTCTATCCCCATCTGTAGGGCTGCTTCCATCCTCCTCTTTTCTTCCTTTGTGGTTATGTCTATGAATTTTAAGAAAACATGTGGAGGAGCTCCCCTTGGTGATGGCAGTAATTTGGCTTTCATATATTCCTATCCTCCAGACACTATTTAGTGCTTCTGTTGTGAGAGCGTGCATGTGTGTGTTTTTGTGAACATTTGTTTTGCAGGATGCTGGAGAGTAATGAAACTTTGCTTTGTTTTGAGCAGAGACAGTTTTTGCAAAGTAAAATGGAGCATTTAACTGAAAATGTTTTTAGTTAACAACAGTGTGATTGGGATTATCAAGAGGCTTTCATCTTAGAGTGAAGGAGGTAAGCGGCGGCTGGGGGAAGGTTGTATTTCTTAACTTTAAACTGACAGCCCGTCAAAGACTCTGAGTGGTAATGGAAAAGCATGGGAAAAGTGGATAATGATCGTTTATTTTTGTGAAATTCAAACGAGGGGTTGAGGAAAGTTGGACCAGTCGGTTCAGAGGCTTATCTAGCTTTGTTTTGCTGAGTAATTAAATCAGAGGAGAGAGTGAAGTTCTCCCCAGCTCAGCGCCTCATCTTGTTTCCTCTTTAATCAGGTGGCTATTAAACCTCTGATTGCACATCTTCTGACTTCAGCTCAGCTATTAAACAGAATGAAAGCATTTTTTCGTGTGTGTGCGTGTTTGGAGCCATATTGCCTCATGTTGTAAGGATCAAGAGTAAGAGAAATAAAGGGGCAGTTAGAGTGAGGTGGAAAGAAACGAGATACACTCGTTGTTATTGTAGCTCCACCAGTGGCATGCTATCTCATTTCTTTTTGACTTGATGATAAATACGTCTCTCCACAACCATAAATCAGTTTCACACACTTTCACACTTCACTGACCTGTGGGATATTTCTGTGACCTCACATTTAAAACTAAAACACATGACGATGTGTTAAACTGGACATGCAGAGGCAGACCTGGTCTTTTTCTCCTCTCTTCACCCCCCCAGTCGCTGAGCAGTCCTCTAACACAGACAACTGTAGTTTGTTGTTCTCCGCTATCAAAACATTCAAGAGACGGCCTCATCCTCCACATGCTGCGAATGACATATGACCTACTGCAAGGTCATCTCAGATTCCTCATCTGCACTCCTCAGAGATCTCCTAGATTAGACTGATGCCCCGCTCAGACGGCTAGCGCCGGTCACGCTGCCTGCATACATCCATTCTTATGTGCTCGGCCCGCTGCTGCTGGCACGGACAAGGTTGTTCAGCAAGGAGAGTTAACCTTTGGGGTACTAACAGAAAATGTATTATTTGTTCTCTGGCCACATTATATCCAGTGGTCATTTTTTGAGGCTTATAATAAAAACTGGGAAAGCTTTTTATTTTCTATCCATATATCTATACCACTTATCCTCTTGAGGGTCTCAGGGGAGCTTAACCCCAAAGTAGCGGACGTTGGGTGAGAGGCAGCCTGGACAGGTTGTGTCATTGTTGTTGTGTTTTTATGTCCATACTTTGTCCATAATTTGTAGATATATTCATATTCATATTTCTTCATTGTCGTTAAATGTTTATGCTTAACCTTATTCTGCTTTGTTGTCCTTGTTTTTTGTTTGTTTATTTGCACGTTGAAAGCAGTGGAAAAACTGGAGTCTAATTCTTTGTATGTGTACGCATACATGGCCAATAAAGCTGATTCTGAATCTGATTAAGCATATAGTTTAAACTCTGGCACATAATCAGCAGCTCATTTGCAATTCTCTTTATTTTGTCCCTGTATATGAGTTGCGCTTATTTCAAGAGAAACTTGTTGACCAAACTTGTGACATTGTCCTTTGCAGCATAAATCTGTTGGATCCAGGGAGACATTAAAATATAGCTGAGATTATGTAAACTGTATCTGCCCCTTATTGAAAAAACAAGCTGGGTCAATTGGTAAATAAGAATAAGGCCTACACTGTCCTACATGTGCCAGTTCATTACCGTGCTTCTCTACGTGTGTTCCCACAGCACCAGTCATCCTGAATGAGTTGAACTGGACCCAGGCGCTGGAGCGAGTCTTCATAGAAAACCGTCGGGAGGACAGCTCTCTGCGTTGGCAGGTGTTCGGCAGTGCCACTGGAGTGACTCGATACTACCCAGGTAGGCCACAGGTCACTGAGTCAACAGTCTGCCTCATAACTCGCAGTGAGATAAAGTCTAAATTGACCCTAGGGCTTCTCAGCTGCAGAACATTGGCAATATCTTATCAGATGGTTATAGTGGTAACTGGATCGACAGAATGAAATTATGATTACTTTGATCTAATCTGATCTGAAATATCCTACAGTGCGCTGTTTGGCCTATAGCTTATTTTTTGCTCTCTTCAGCCACTCCATGGAGGGCACCCAACAAGATCGACCTGTACGATGTCCGCAGAAGACCATGGTAAGTGCCGACATGGTGCACACTCATAAATATCACTCATCATTTGAAATATCTAAGAAATAAGAAAAGAGCATCTTGATAACTTTTGAATATTGAAGTTATTTGTTGGGGGCATTTGTTTCTTAAAGTGGTGAAATAGTCTTGATGTACTCTACTTGTGAATGATGTTGCCTGGAAATTTCTTCAGACTATTATTCAAAATAGTAGTAGCTAGTTTTTTATAGTATACTTCTAGTATTTTATTGGTACATTTGTGATTCTGACACCTATAGATATGAGAAATTCATTAGAGACAGACCAATGTTCAGAAAAAGAATTTGGCAATGATTCCTAGGAAGTTGTTATCAAACCTTGGTGATAAAGACATTTAATTGAGGCATGATAAGTTACAGTTTAACTATAAACTGTATTATAAATAACTCTATCACTAACAGTATTTATAACTAAATAGATACCAGAGTGTAGACACAAGTGAGTGATGTGTGATAGAAAATGGGCTGTATTGTAAATGCACTGCATGAATGGGTGAATGGCAAAACTGTCCTGTTAAGTGCTTTGAGTGATCACCAAGACCAAAATATTCTATATAAATACAAACCATTCACCATTTATATATAAAAAGAAAACACAAATACAACCAAATATACAAAACTTGAGTTAATTTATTTAGGTAAAATGCAGATATTTTCTACATTTTCTATACAAATCCATGAACTTGCTGAACTGTTCACCCCCAGCTGAGGTTTGTGTAGCTCAGAGCAGATAGACTTGAACAAAAAGAAACAGCAGCAGAGGAAAATTGCAGAAATTTAACTTGTCATTGCAACACCTGTTCTGTCAGCAGCAGCAGCAGCAGCAGCAGAGTCATGCTGTGTTAAAGTTGTGACAAAGTGTTGTGTGGTGATCTGAGCACACACACACGCACAAGCTTGCTTTTGACATATTTGATTTTTAAATTTTTGTGTTACAAAGGAATGTCTGTACACATTGCCACTGCGTTTGTCTTTTATTCTTATATTCAAGGCGATAAGAGCCTTTTCATCTGTTCAAAGACGTAGCCTACAAACATGAAACTCTTTGAACTATTACTTGTTCTTGCTTCTAGACTATGTGAAAACACTCTCTACAGTGGCAGCCATTTCTGTGTCTCATATAAATAGTCTCGTATTAAGATTCTTGTTCAGCGCTTTGTCTCTGTCTGCTGTTGACCTTCTGCGCTCCCTCCAGCCTCATACTCCACTCGGTATATTGTTTAGAGGAATAAGATCAAAACATTTTTCCTAAGCCATGTTTATCTCAGTAAATGATCATGTAGAATGCACTGTATTTTGCTACAAGGACAAAACAAGATAGAGGCTAATGTTTTCATTAAAACAACAACAGCTGATCCCTGTGCCGAGTGCCGGGGTGGGTGAGCGTGATCGGCTGGACAGAACTAGGCTGCGTTCACCCACCCACCCTGGCTTCCTGTCCACCCTTCCGCATTCAATCTACTTGCCACTGTCACATCAGCTTTGTGGCAGCCCTGCCTGTTGCCTGGTTACAGGTTGGAGTGAACTGGACATAATCATGACAGCAATGTTGATTAGACCTGACCCCATTTTCCATCTCTGTCTCCGTCCAGCTCAGTGTGAGTGGCTGTTTGAGGTCAGGCCAGGCTGTCACATGAAGTCAACGGAGCTCAGAGCAAACAAACAAACAAAAGACAAGCAAAAGAAAACCTTTGCATTCTGATTACATTTGTATGACAATCAATATTCAAAAGTACACAATCTTGAAATCTTAAAATGTTGCCAGGTCTAAAAGAGAAGTAATATGTACACCAGCAAAAGCACATTGAACATAAAATCAGTTGCTCATTGGAGTATTTTTATGAAACAATTCGAAGGGATCTCCAAACACCTCAGTGTGTCTACAATCATCAAACCAACGAGGTGTTCCCTGACAATTAAACACCCAAAGAAAGTCTCCCTAGTGCTCCACTGTCACAGCAGGCCACACTATAAACAGGGAAAAAAAGCTGGAAAACACGAGGCGCTGTGTAGCAGCACAACTTAAAACAAGGATCCGTTCTCTGATCTGTCAGCACAAAACCCGAGTTCATGGACTTTAATGCTCTTACACATGTTTTGACTGGGGAACTCTTCCTGGAGACAAGAGGGAACAGGAAAAGAGAAAGATGAGGGGGCTTGCTGAGCCGCTGCAGCGTCTTTGACAAGGTTAGACACAGGAAGAGGTGTGTTTTTGCAGAGAGGAACACCTTGTCACCCCCCTCCCTGGTCCTCCATGTTTGTCACTGTCATCTCTGTCAAGCTTTTCCTCATGTCGGAGCCATTGACATTTCCTGTGGCCTGTTGCTTAGCAACTTGTGCCCAGCCGCCTTGAGTGGCGCAACCTTGGCAGGGAGTGTCATGATATGTCAGGTCAGACCAGCGTGATTATAGTCTTAACATGCTCTCTCCCCCATTCTCTGGAGAGGTTGGCAAATCACGCATGTTAGAGGGGTGATGTAAGTCCGTCATGTGTGCTTGTGTGGCCACAGTAGATGTCAGCATCTAGTAACACACACAACAGCATGAGTGTTAACACAAGTCCGACAAAACACAAGTCATGCACCTACTTATGTGTTTCAGTAGAACTGACATTTGAATTATTAGGTTCCGAGCACAACAGTGCAAGGACCTATTGATGTTGCTGTGATTCTTCTTCTTCTTACAAATGAAATGCCTTTTGGGGACTTTAACATACTAAAAAACTAATTTACTTGCTTGCTTGGGAACATATGTCCAGAAATGCCAAAATAGCGCCCCCCAGAAATGTTCAACAAGGGTCTTCCTACCCCTTTACTTTTGCCTAGAGTAATGAAAATTAGCACACATGTGTATCATGCCCAGACTCACAAAAGATCCTCTAGCTACCCTCGGCCACACCCAACAGGAAGTCGGACATTTTGGATTGAACATTTAAATTTGGGTTGATTTTTGGCACACTTCTTTTAGCCATTTGTCCGTTTACAGCGTCCAGTAATTAGGACCAATAATTATGCATTTTTAATTCAAGTCATAAAGTTGAAGCTCGCAATCTCATCCAACTAGCCTCTGTTCTGAAAGCAGAACCTTTCTTACAATGTTATCAGATGTTTCCTTTCATTTCAACACTGGCCGAGTCATGTAGCTCCAATGACAGTATATAAGACAAGACATTATTTGGCGAGGTTCCGTCGACACACTCATTCAACCAATCTCAAGTCAACCTCTGCTGTCAATCATAACACAATGTTTTTGTTCCATGTGACACAAAGTAGGAGGGTGTAGCGTTGGCTGTCTCTCCTTCATGGATCCAGTTGTGGTGAAGACAAATGACCAAACTCCTGTAAACTCACCACTCCATAAATTACCCTATTATAAGAAACTAAATCCCAACACACTGAAAGGTATGAGGACTACATGGAGCAAAAAATATTACAATCAATTTTTACAGCCCACCCTCACATAAATTAGACCTATTGAGTTACAAATACAGACGTTTGTCATTTATAAAGATTTCATACCCCCTGGAGAATAATGATGCCTTCATGTGATGACAGAAAAAATAGATAGATGATAATAGTTTATTCACGGCACCACAGAGCAATTTGTGCACCAAAGCAACACAAACACAGACATGATTAAAGAAACAATATAACAATCATGTGTTGTACATGTAAGCTTAAATTACATTTTTCTTTATGATTGCAATTTTGCAATTTTTTTGATTGCAACAAAAACCTCAAGAAAAAGGGTTTAAATGTGCAAACATACTTTCACACGTTCTCCTACAAACCTACCCGCTCTCTACTTCTCAATACCAGATTCTTTCAGATCACATGATATACGCCATATAGATATTGTTAATTGTTGCAATCGCCGGAACATTTGCACAGAATCTGTCTTCGGGGAAGAGTCAACCTGTCAATGATCTGATTTACAGTAATAGAGAGAGTAGAAGGAGCGGCCAGAGTTCATGGTCAGTTCGTAGCGCAAAGGACGAGTAGCGGTGGGCGGATGCGGGCAGGGCTGAGCCAATGGGAGCTGACCAGGTGCTCTCTTAAGGGGCCGCCTGTGTCTACATATGTGCTGTCTCCTCTGTCTGCCACCACCCCCCTCACCACCACCAACGGCCCCAGGAAAATTAATGGTCCAGTCAACACACTTAATTGTCTCCAATTGCTCTGACATTAATTATTAACATTTGTCCATTATATTGTCTGTTCGTGTTATCAAGGGAAGCGAAGCAGAGGGTGAAGCGAGGCAGAGGGAGGGAGAAAAGCGAAAGGGCGAGGAGTGAAACAATCAGAGACAGGCATGGAGTCCTGTTAGCCAAGCGTTGCAAAGATCCCATTACCTCCCAGGTTCACAACAGCATGTAGGCTATATCACATATTGATTTCTTCAAAAAGTCAATCTGACCTCTTTGTAAATATTATGACGAGTGGGCAGTCCTCAAAGCTGAGGCTCCCCCCCAAAAAAATACCCAATATGTGGAGTGCTGAGCTTCACCTCCTCCATCTTTTATTTCTCTTCAACACACTTGAGGGAGACTCCAAGAAGAACGATGTGTTATTGGAGTGACTGAAGGAGTCACAAGGCTTTAGCACTTTTACTGTGAAGCTGTTTTCAGACATGAACTTTGTCTCTCATCAAGAACGCAGCAGGAGATTGTCTGGGTCAGACGCGTTCACAACAACAGGAAGATGTTTGGTAACGCACGCAGGAGGCAGAAGATGACATACTGTATAAATTCCACTGTGGAGATCACATGTTTTTGTTTACAGCACATCAATGCTGGCATCGCTTGCTATCGCCAGAAGCTCTTGAATCTCTTTGTCAATAGCTGTGAATTTTTCAGACAGGATTCTCACATGGGTTTTATGGACATTTCAAAAGTGACTTGGCAGGGAAAACTCTGGTGAATGTACTGAGCAACTGACATTACGTTGTCTCATTCGGTCCCTTCGGAGA